AAAAAAAAAAAAAAAAGATGCCCCTTGGTTGAGGGCTGTTTGGTTCCTTGGAAAGAGAGTGTGAGTGGGGGGAGAGTGCTGATGGTGACTCGAGGCCTCTTCAAATCCTCCATCCTTCCCCAGCCATCGAGCTGATCAAGGATCTGGTCAGCTATGACGTGCGCAAGGCATTGCTGGAGGGCCTCGTGGCGCTGCTGATACCACCTGTAAAGGAGACCTCCAAACTGCAGCCCAAGATCCTCAACGGTAGGAGGAGCGAGGGGGCGCTGGAGCGTCAGGGCACCAGGGGGAGTGGAGGTGCCTCCTGCCCACAGGGTATCTAAGGTATGGCAAGTATGGCACTTGTCATGGGCACCACTTGAAGGGGGCGCCACTGAGCAGTTTCTATTAACCAAGTATGGCCCAGCCCTTTCTCAAGAGGGTAGACATCCAGAGCCTAGAAGAGGGCAGAGGGGTATACTTGCCCCTGAGCGCCAAGTCCAGGAGGGCGCAAGACTGGACGCATTGGAAAAACATTGCGGCGCCACAAATACGAAAGATGCCTGAGGCAACCAGACAAAATGGTGTTATACATTTAGGCTAACGCCTCGCCGCTATCAATGTGTATTAATTTTGAAATTGGGGGAGGTGGCGCAATTGAGAGCTGGCCCTTTCTCCTGCCTCACCGACGCTCCCTCCCCAGACTCCTCCGTGCTCCAGCTCACCGCCCACCTGCCAGTGTTTTTGCAGCAGGCCGCAGCCGCCAAGGCTATCGGGTAAGTGGGCAGGCGGTAGCTGGTGGATACAGCAAACCTAGCTCGGCGTTGCCGGGGCCGGGAGCGCTATGGGCGCAGTGCACGGGGTGTGGGCGGCAAAGTCCCAAGGCGCTCCCACAGCCCGAGTCCTCGCTCCAGGGTCCTAGCGCGCAGCAATCTGAGCATCGCCGAGGAGCTGCTGCACCTGCGCGTGGTGCACAGTCTCATGGCCGCCATGGGCAACACGGACCACAGCAACAGCCAGCGGCTGGCTAGCCTCACGCTGGAGGTGAGCGCCCGGACGCGGGAGGCAGCGGGTGCTTGAGACTGATGCAATTTGCCATTACGGAAACTCACTCCCCCTCCCGCCGGGCCGCAGTACTACGTGCAGATGTTTCCGGTGGTGGAGGAACACGTGCGCAGGAGCATGGGGGAGGATCTTTACAAACTCTTCACAGTAAGTGCCCCCCAACCCTGGCACAAAGCAGCCATTGCCTCAGACAGAATCATGGCCCTCGACATCGTCCCTACCCCAATACACGCCACACATGGAATACGTCTGCTTACCAGCTTCTAGAGGGCCTGCCCTGACTTGAGCTGCTCCACCTGGCCTCTTTTCCATTCCCTTTCCTGCCCTTCTCAGTCTGGGTGACTCCCATGGCCTGCAACATCCCTCTGCCCAAGCCCAACTTAAAGTCCAGACTGCTGTGGTACCCTGGCTCTTGCTCCTGCCCTCAGAGCAATGCTGAGGAATTGTACATGAAAATGGACAGCATTCAGGCAGACATCTTGGCAGCCAACAAGGTCAATGTTACCAAAGGTGAGTAGGAGCAAGGAGGGCCTGGAGCTGGAGGTACAGCAAGCACCCAGATTCATGCTCTCCTTGTCTGCTTCCAGCCTTAAACCCCTCTGATGTCTACAGCAACATGAGCTTTTACTTTGGCCATCCTGAAAATGAGGATCATCTGAGCTACATCACAGACTTCCAGAAGAGGAATATGGAAGCAATGGGAGAACAGAGCCCATGAGACAACCCAAAGAAGCCTGGTAGTAGGAAGGAGCCAGAGCCAAGCTCAGGGTGCCCTACTTGGCTCTAGCTGGCAGCCCGGGAGTTAGGCACCACAGTGGGGGATAGGGAGAGCTGGTGGCTGAGAAGAGTTCAATAAATAGTCTTGCTATATGCCTAGTTCTCTGTGTGCAGTGAGAGAAGGGAGATCAAATGAGAGTTAGGATGACGAGTTGGGTACCTCTGCTCACCAAGAAATAAAGTAGGTCAGGAGGAAGAGATCACCAGCATCCTGGAAATTTCCAGGGCATAGCATGAGGAGAAGGCCTCACCTCGGCTCCCTGCTGGCCCTAGCATTCTCAGCTCAGGACACCATACATGCCTGGTTTGACTCCTTAACCTCCTTCCTAGGAGCTCTGGTAGCATAGTGCCTACGGCATCTAACTGTTAACCAGAAGGCTGGCAGTTCAAACCCACCAGCCACTCCTTGGAAGAAAGTTTGGGCAATCTACTTCCATAGTGATACCACCTCAGAACCCCAAGGAGGGGTCACTGTGAGTCGGGTCCGACTCGATGGGACATAACCACACATAACCTCCTTCCAGCTGGAATGATGCAGGATTCTGACCTTGATTCTCTTCTCTTCTATGAGCCTTTTACACCCTGATGATCCCATCCAGTCTCAGAGTTTTACATACCATGTATATGGTGACTCCCGCATTTCTACTTCCTGCTTGAACATTTCTATCTCATTGTGCCCAGAACTGAACTCTTGATCCAGTGCTACCCACAACCTTCACTGAATCAACTGATGGCAACTCATCCTTCCTGCCAGAATAAAATAGCATAATTCTCCTTGATGTCTTTCTTTAACACCTGCATCCATTCTGTCAGTTAGCTCTGTCTTCCATATTTATCCAGAATCCAATCACATCTCACTACTTCCATTGCTCACACTTTGGCCTAAGGCACCATGGTCTACTCTGCTTTCTACCCGTATTCTTTTTAATACAGCAGCTGGAGAGGCCCTTTTAAACTTGAGATAGTATCACTCTGCTAAAACACTGCAGGGGCTCTTCATTTCACTGACAGTAAAAGCCATCATCCTTAGTATGCCCTCCAAGGCCCTAGGTGAGTTGGTCTCTCATTCCCTCTCTGCACTCATCTGCTACTTCTTTCCCTCTCCTTCACCCTGCTCCAGCCACAATGGCCTCCAGTGCTGTTTCTTAAAATAGACAAACAAGCTCTTGCCTTAGGTTCACTCTGCCTAGAGATCTCTCACCCCACATAGCTAACTCCTTCACCTCACTTCAACTCTTGACACAAAAAGCACCTTCTCAAGGAAACCAAACGACCAGACCTGTTGGTGTGGTATTGAGTCTGACTGCTGGAGAGCCCATGTGTCAGAGCAGAACTGCCCCACCGGGTTTTCATGGCTGAATCTTTACAGAAGGAGAGCACTAGGCCTTCCTTCCATGGCACCTTTGGGTGGGTTTGAACCAGCAACCTTTCTGTTAGCCACCAATTGCAAATCATTTGCACAACTCAGGGACCGCCTTCTCAGTGAGGGTCACTCTTTTTGAGCAGATTGCTAGGTCTTTCTCCCACAGAGGGGCTCTGATGGCGCAGTGGTTAAAGCATCAGGCTGCTAACCAAAAGGTCTTGGTTCTAACCTACCAGCTGTTCCGTGGGAGAAAGATGGGGCAGTCAGCTTCCATAAGGATTTACCTCCTTGGAAACCCTAGGGGGCATTCTACTCTGACTTTATAGGGTTGCTAGGAGTCAGAATAGACTCCAGGGCAGTGGGTTTGGTTTTTTTGTAGTTTCTCCCTCAGAGCCACTGAATGGGTTTGAACTGCCAAACTTGTGGTTGGTAGCCACGTGCTTAACTGTTGCACCCCCAAAGCTCTTTAAACCCTACAGGACAGGGATATTTCTTTTGTTACTAATATACCCTAAATACTTAGAACAGTGCCTGGTATGCATGAATGAGTTACTGTGAGGGAATTGTCCCACCAAGTCATAGAAAATGTCAGGTGGCAGTAATGTTCCACAAACTGCCACAAGGGGGCATCACCAGACCGGATATCATTGGTCTAAAGCAGCCATCCTTTACCAAACTGAGATTTTGAACCCCAGCTAGCCTCATTTTGGCCTGGGTAGAAAAGTTAACAAAGTACAATTTCATTTTTTCATAAAGTTCAAAGGATTTTGTATTTTAAAGAATTCCTTTACTTTGAGAGCAAGTCATTCGTTTTTCAGTTCCAAAATATATAATGGTGGTTAAAAAGGGGCAACACACTAGCATTTTTTTGAATTTTTATTTGTTGAAAAATCTAAAAACTTAGGAACCACTGGTCTAAGGTGATCATAGTTTGATAAATTAAAAAAACAATGGAACATTCTGAAATGAAATCTTAAACAGAATATAAATACCTGAAACAGATACATTTGGAATTTCTAAACATATTTTTCCTCAACTTTTATTTAAAAAAGTTCAAAGATACAGAATAGTTGAAAGAATAATACAATGTGTTTCTATATATCTAAATATCCTTTGACACATTTGATTTATCTCTTTGTGTATTTGCGGAGCTGTTTGAAAGTTTCAAATACCAGTGACATTTCACCAGTAAATACTTCACATTATGTTTCTACTAAGAACACTCTCCAACATATGTAAAATATTATTGTGCTGTTCTGAATAATTGCCCCCCAAAACGTCCATATCATCCTTCCTGTATCACCTCACACGGTAAAAGGGACTTTGCAAATCTAATTAACATAAGGATCTTGAGATGGGGAGATTACTGGATTACTGGATAAACAAAAAGAAAAACCAAACTCACAGGTAAACAAACAAAACAAAACTTACTGCCGTCGAGTCAATTTTGACTCATAGTGACCCCCTCCTTGGATTTTCAAGGCAGTATCACTACAGAAGTAGATTGCCCAGTCTTCCTTCCGCAGAGTGGCTGGTGGGTTTGAACTGCCAGCCTTCTGGTTAGCAGTCAAATGCCTTAGGCATTATGCCACCAGAGCTCCTGGGATTACTGGGTTGTTGTTGTTGTTATTTGCTGTCGAGTCGGCCCCAACTCATAGCGCCCCCTCCTTGGGTTTCCGAGGCAGCAGCATCACTACAGATGTAGATTGCCCAGTCTTCCTTCAGGGGAGTGGCTGGTGGGTTTGAACCACCTGCCTTCTGGTTAGCAGTCAAATGCCTTAGGCACTTTGCTACCAGAGTTCCCCAAGAGTCTTCAAGAGGGAGCAAAAGGATCAGAGAGTGATTTGAGGAAGGTGAGACAAGTAAAGGCATGAAGACAGCTTCCAGAAGATGAAAACAAGGAAATAGATCCTCCCCTGAAGTTTCTAAAAGGAATGTCATCCTGCTGGAACCTTGATTTTGGACTTCTGACCTCCAGAACTGTACAAATAAATCTCTTGTTTTAAGCCACTAAAATGTGTGTAATTTATTACAGCAGCAAGAAGAAAACTAACGCCATTATTAATTCAATAATATCTTCTGAAATAGAGCACAAATTCAAATAACCCTAGTCAGCCAAAAAATACACTTTCTAGGTTTTGTTTTTTCCCTTTCTTCTTGGTTCTAAATTTAAAATCCAGTAAAGGTTTGTATGTTGTATTTGGTTGTGGTTTAGTAAGTTTAAAGTTCAAATTTATAACAATTAACTTCTTGGCTTGAGCCACACAAAAACTTGAAATCACAGATACATCCGACATTTGCACTCTTTAAGCCCTGAACTTACTATTTTACTTTGGTTAAATAGAAAATAGGTAAAACTTGCACAGTTCTAACAGCTTGCTTACTATCTCAGGATACCCTATTAACCTGTTCTAACAACAACAACAACAGAGGCACAAAAGAGGTCGAGGAAAACAACTAATATTAACTGGACGAGTTTTTTTTTTTTTTTTTTCTTTTAAAAGTTTTATTTATTAAAACAAAACTTTACATTAACAATACATGCTAATCAGAGACAGTATAGCATATAAAGATTAAGAATATGGGTTCTAGGACCAGATACTTAACAGGTCAAATTCAAGCTCTGTGACTTTGGACAAATTATTAAACTGTGAGCCTCAGTTTCCTCATCTGTAATGTAGTAATTATTCTTGCCTCACAGGAAGGTTGCAAAGATTAACATGCAAAGCATCTTGAACACCATATATTAAGTTAAACACAATACGTAGCTAGTAGTATTGTAGAAAGCAAAGTACAGGCAGTCCTTGGGGTACAAACAAGATCCATTTTTGTGTCTTTAAGAATTTGTAGGTAAATTGGAACAGAAGCATATGTTTCTTATTTAGTAATTGAAGACGTTTGAACTTAATAGACGATGCAGCCAAATAATGATAAATACCTGTCTTCCAGAGACTTCAACAGTTTCTGGCATTAAGTTATTGTCACAGGCTCTTGTAAGGGTAGTTGACCCTAGCCAACAGATTAATTAGAAAATGTACTTCATTCATCTTGAGTTTTACCAAACTCATTATTGTTAGAGGCTGCCAAGTCGGTTCAGACTTTGGAGTGAGCCTATGCACAAGAGAAAGAAACACTCCCTGGTCCTCACCATCCTCACAATTGTTGCTATGCTTGAACCCATTATTACCACCATCAAATGCCTTTCTCAAATTTTCTATTCATAACCAATGATCCAGCGCTAGTTTTAAAGCTGAATTACCTCATCAAGATAAAGAAGTTTGTTCAATATAAATGTTATACAAAAACCGGTAACCTGTGGTCCACGTAAGGTGGTCAGTGCCGCAGGCACAGCAGAATGTCAAGGTTCTTAGAGATCACTTTATGAAGTAGGGGCTAGAACGCATTGCATGGGTATGGCGTAGCCACATAAAACATTTCTTACGCTTTACAAACAAGGTGAAGCAAGAATCTAATAGATACCAACTTAACGATAAACAAACAAACAAAAAAACTAATTGAATCTAATAAATACCAACTTAATGTTTTAAACAAATGTTTTAAGCAAAACAAAAAAACTA